CCAAAAAAAAAAAAAGAAAAAAAAATTCAAGCTAGTGGAATCTCAGATCCAACACTAGAGCTAGACCTAACCAAATAAAGCAAAACAAAAAGATAATGAGAAAAGAGAACCACATCTCTATAACATCAAACTTGTTCCTAACTCTCATGATGATGACATCCAATTAACTTTTATTAAAAGATTAGTGTTTCTAGATTTTTTTTTTTTTTATGTTCAGAAAGAATTAAATTTTGTTTGATATGAAATTTATTTTAGCATGTTGGGAAGTCGTTTTTACGTCAATTTTATTTTATTAGGTTCATGTTACTTCACTCCAGCTCTTCTAGAGTACCAATATAACAAACAGCTGAAAAAGACAGCCATAAGCAATGCAATGGGGATTAGGTTCAATCACTAAGCAAAGCTTGTTGAAACCTAATTATTTGGTTTACGTTTTAAATCTGTTCTTAGATCAACAGATTATTTACATGCAAAGACACGTAGTTTTCACCAACAAATTGAAAGGGAGCCTTGGCACCCTTAAAATTTTTTTACTCTCATTTTTTTATTATAAAAATATCCTCATAAAAAATTACATTATTATTTTTTTTTGAAAGGTAAAATTTTATTAAAACATTTGAGACACCAAGTTGCTAACAAATTACATAATTAACCGTTATCAAATTATCATTTAGCCCTTCAAAACACCATTTTGACACAATTTCCTTTCTTTTTCTAGATCTTCTTCTTTTTCTCTTCCCAATTTCTTTTCTTCTTCTCTTTTTCTTTATCTCTTCTCTTCCATACACCCAAATCTATCACAAATCCTAAACCATAAAAACTACAATTATTGTTAGAAAATTTTGAAAAAACAAAAATAATAAGAAAGAAGAAATATGACTTTGAGATGTGAAAAATACTATCTTAAAGGTAATTATACCTATAAGATATAATAAAATCTTAAAACTCTATAAATTAGAATAAGTGAAATTGATCATGTAAAAATATTTATTTATAATAAATAAACATTCATAAATTTTTATTCAAAAAATTATGACAATATATATAGTCTTGTTTTCTTGTTCAAACAAGCTTATGTAGAATTTAAAAAAAAATAATTTTATTAATATTTCAAAATTTTAATAAGTAAAAGATTTAAAAAAAAAATCTATTTACTAAATAAGCCCAAGGGCCCATATGCCTAATTTTTTACTTTTAAAATTGTTTGACCCTCTAGAAAATTTTTTAATAAGCCTAAATGACTTGATTCACTTCAACACTTAGTTCAATTACTTAAACAATACAAGTAGTCTCTTTTTAACTACAAACAAATGATTTTTCTATTCAACGTAGGGATACACCACATTCTAAACAACCAACAATCCTCCACTAGTTTGGAATGTTAATGCTTAGTCTTTAATCTTTCACACAAATAAATATTATAAATACATAAACGTATCTTTCGATTTAAACCTTCAATTAACATATATACCTTAAAATTCTAACGAAATTGATAGTGTCTATAGATTAAACTTCTCCTAGTGTTAAAATTAAAAATACAACACACATAATACTTACTTAATCTTTTGTTAGAAGTTTATAACCACTTTAACACTATTATGGCTATGTGCTTATCCTTATTCATAAACATTTACAAGAAAGTTTTCAATTTTCTCGTTAAAGCGGGCACCACTTCAATGTTTATATAGGTGGAGTTTTTTTTTTATTATTTATGTCTCCATTGCTAAAGACATTTAATTATAGAATCTATTAAAAGTTTAATCTCAATCTCCATTTACATCATGGTTCACACTGGTATTTCAAATATTTAGAATAGGTTGACTAGTGTTTATAGACACATAATAATAACTTATTATTACTTATTAAACATTGTAATTAGAGATTATTAATTCAAATTAGTTCCATATTGTTGATTTTAAAAAAAATTTTTTTTTTACAAATTTCTAAGTAGTGTTTAAAAGATCTATAGTTATTGTCAAATTAATAGTTTAGTAATATCCTATTTTTGTCATATAAATTAATATATGTCGTAGACTTATATGTTGAGATTTTTCATTATAAATTTCACTATAAGCTCTAACATAGTAGCTTCACTATCACAATATAAGAAAATAGTTGTCATTAGTTGTAGCCACAACTCTATATCCATTAATAAATTTCTTAGCCATTATGTTTCCTTGCATGCTGCAGTTAAAGCTATAAATTCAGATTCCATAGTTGAATGTGAAATGCAAGTTTATTTTTTGAATGCCCAACTAATTGCACTATCTCAAAGTGTAAACATCCAACTTGAAGTAGATTTATTGTTATTTATACTAGTGATCCAACTTGCATCCAAATATTCTTCCAAAACTGCTTGATATTCCGAATAAAATAGGCCAAAATCTTTAGTTCTTTTAAGATAATCAAGAATTCTTCCTATGGCTTTCCAATGACTTATACTAGGCTTACTTGAATATCTTGATAACTTACAAATAGAAAAAGCTATATTTGGCCTAGTATAATGCATAGCATACATAATACTTCCAATGGCATTAGCATATTCAAGTTGTGCAATTACATAACCATGATTTTCTATTAACTTTATACTTATATTATATGGAGTATTGACTTCTTTTATATTAAGAAACTTAAACTTATTAAGCAATTTCTCAATATAATAACTTTGATTCAATTGGCATTAAAATTTTTCAAATTGAAAAAGGATTCAATCTCTATATAAAGAGCTCAATTCCAAACTCGAAGAACAACAAGCAACAAGCAATTAAAAAAGTAATCATGTAATAAATAGAGTTCAAGCAAACAAAAATTTTTTGTGGTTTTCGGTTTAGGATTTTAGGAGTTTGATTTTGAAATTGTTCGTAAGAGTTTTAGTGAAAGCATTTAGGAATTGGTCTTTGGTGTTTCTGGATTGGAGAATTTTTGGAAGTTTCAATTTTTGGATTTTGATTTAATTTTTCCACATGTTACCCTTTATCGACCTAATTGATCGCAAGTTTTTAGACTTGAACGTTATAGCAGTATACAAGAAAGGTTAAATCAAATAGCCTCAATGATACAACGAAGCCTAAGTTTGGTCTACTTTGTACTAAAAAACCAAACCATTAAACACTTTTCAGTGAGAAACAAAAGTGCCTTGTCTTTAATAAGGTTTTCTTTTTTTTTTTTTTGGTAGCAAACAATATTAAAGTAACTAGCCTTCTAAGAGAAAGTTGGAAGATGGAAAAGTGTAACTTAGAATTGAATTGTATTACAATGAACCCACATCAATATGTATTTATAGAGATTTAATCTAAAATTGTGACTTTTTAGTTATGTTGTTTCAATTAAAAATTACTTATTTTTTGTTAAAAATTACTTTTTTTTTTTAAAAATATATCTTTTTGAAAGATTGTAAATATATTTGTTCATTTGAATAGTTATAGTTTTCATACAGAAAGAAATCACTATTTACATTTCTAAATTACAATTTTTCATACAAAATCATCTTTTAATTTGACTCTTTCTATTATAAAATTATATCAATTTTACCATAAAACTTTTCTTAAATTATATTTTAGCTCAACATAACCCTCTAATTAAATTTTTTACTTAATCATATTTTCATTATTTTAAACATATTTCTAACAAAATGTTCTCAATTCCTTATTTCTTCTCGGGGTTTTAGGGTAGAAATGAGAAAAAACTATAAAGAAAAGTAATGAATATTTGACTCCTAAGGTATGTTTTCAAGGGATCACTAAGCACTTAGGATTTAAAATTTCATCTAAAAAAGTTTCAAACTTAAGTTTGGGTGAGGTGAAATATATTGGATAAAAGAGGGTTATGATCTCTTGCTATGTGCAACTCTTTTTTATATATAATTGGGATTATTAGACAATAAATGTTGATCATTAAAAATAATATCTTACCAACAAATAGCACGGATTATTATACTATAGTACAATTTGAACCGTTAGGCAAAGTTTGGTCCTTTTATGCACTGGGAATCTAAGTCATCCTGTGGTCGTTGCCGTCCTGTTAATGGCATTTATTGTGTAGTATGGCCCATGGGAAATGGATAGTGATCGTTGATTCCCAACTGATGTCACTAAAATCAAAAGCGAAAATAATACTAACCGCCATAGGGTCCCGCATTGGAATATAAAGGAGCCCTGAGAGTTTTATTCAGTCAGTATTCATATGTCATAACCATCAGATTTTGATACTATTTTTCTTTTTCATTTATGTTATGTTAAGTATTTTTCAACATATAAATTACTTTTTTTTTGTAGAAAAATTATTGAACGTGTTATGAAGTTTATTGTAATACATGTATATATATATATATATATATATATAACTTACATGAAAACTAGATTTTGTTACAAGTGGCATTTCCACATAAAAAACTTTTGTTGATTCACAATTTTTATTCATTTAAATGGAGAGAAAAAGATTATAATAAATAGGATGTCAATAAATCGAATATGAAGAAATTTTCATTATGTTTATAATCAATTCAAATAATTAATAAATTTTAAAAAATTATTTATAACAACCTACTGATCTCTAAATTTTGTTGAAACTATAGTATAAATATAAGTTGATTAATTGCATTGATTGTAATGAATGAAAAGATAATTTTCTCTTATGTTAAAGCTGGGACTGTTGCTAATCTAAAAGTAACCATCACTTTATTTGAATGTTGAATTAGGTGACACCATTTGTTGAAAAAAGAGCCAAGATGTTATATTCTCAATCAATTTTGTGTCTTATATGATGTGTCATAGTTTGATTTCATATTCATTGACTTGTTTCATTTGCAGGTTGATAATTGCAAAAAAAAGTTGCCTATATTTTTCAATGTTTGCCTTATCATATTGTAAAACTATAAATTTTAAACTTTTTATCATTTATAAATTAAGAAACTAAAATGATTTTTTAAAAAAAAATTTGGGTTAGAATTAAAGTTTGAATTTGAGATCTCTAATCTTGAAATCAATTCCAATACTATTGAAATATCGTATCATTGATAAACGAAATAATTTTAAGACAAAAACCTTTCGTTTTGTACTTTACAATTTTATAATCAACATATTCAGTTATATCGAATGCAGTGAGTAATTTAAACTCTATGTAAAACATGTTGCAGACAAAACCGGAGGGATATGGTCCATTCTCCATACTTCTACTTCATAGCATAAGCACAAATGAAATAAAATGAAGTACCCCGTTGCACATTCCTCATTTGGAAACAAGTATAAATATTCTTGGAAATTCATGGTCATCCAGGGAAAATTATACATGTAAATATCTTATCGGATGTATTGTAGTACTGCCTTTCTGCACTGCTTTTGTGTTACATTTACGTTATTTTTTATATAGAAAGACCGTAATTTAAAATTTTAGGTAACAGAATGCCATTTCATTCACCTGATTTTTAGGCCGAAGAGATGGGACATAAAACCTTGTTAAAAATTTCAATCCCATTGTTGCCCAAAGCAGAATATCAACTTTGAAATTTTGGGGTCCCTTTTTTTGGGCTTGGAACAATCACTTGATTATATCTGTTGATAAGAAGCTATAGACAATCATGTCTCTAATTTCACCTTTGCAAAACCCATACTTCCTTAGCAGGCCTTCTTTCAAAAACCCAACCTTCTCCAACACCTTTTGGGACCCCTGATTTTCTACCTCTACAAAAGCTTCAAGCCTTACCAAGCCTGGAAACTCTTTGAACACACTGGAAACCGCCATCTTCAATGCAGCTGTAGCAATCCCTTGTCCCCAGTACTCGGAACTCACTGCATACCCAAGGTGAGCTCTGCATTTATCATCACCTGCTTCTGGCTTGATTGAAAAGTATCCGATCGAACGGTCATCTAAACATATGGACCGACGATAAGGTTGGGGTATGGCAACCTTCTCAAGATATGACAGGGCCTCTTCCCTGGAAGTGATGGTGTTCCATCTGAGATAACGGGTTACTTTATCATCACTAGCCCATTTCAGGAAGTCGTCGACGTCGGAGAGCTGGAACCGTCGGAGGGAGATTCTTGATGGGTCCATTAATGAAGGCTGAAATGGTTAAAAGGACCAGGAGCTTTTGATATGAACTATGTTCTTATGATTTGCAAGGAGTTTAATCTTATCTTTTGCAAAGCCCGAAAAGGATTGAAAGCCACAAATCTATGTCAATTGTAGTCAGAAACGACAACCTGGTCAAATAATGTAGTATTTGGTGCATTGAATTTGAACCAGCCTCTTAGCAGGCAATTGATTGGGCCATAAGATAGGAATCCAACTCCAAGCTGCAAGCGACATTTTGAGAAAAGTTTGCGCAGTTTATTCTGTTGAATAATGGGTTAAATATAAAAATTGCTGTTGTACTATATGTTTTTATTAATTTAATATTTTAAAAAATAAATTTTTGGTTTGATATTTTAATTTTTATTTTATCATCTATTTTGATTTATTAGATTAATGCTATCAGTCAATTTACTAACATAGCCTTAACATTAAATGACATTAACATTCAATAATACGTTGAGACGCCCAAAAAAAATTTTAGTTAGCGTGACATCGTAAATTTTTATATTCATATTAAAGGAAAATTTTTTTTAAATTCATAAAAATTCACAAAAATTTTAAAAAATATTTTAAAATTCTAAAATATTTAAAAACTATAAAAAATTAAAAACTGAAATATTTTAAAAAATAATATATATTTAAAAAAATCTCAAAATTTTATTAAAAATCCAAAAAAATTCTGAAAAATTAATAAAAAAAGAAAGTTTTAATAAAAATAAAATTTTCTTAAAATTAAAAAATTCACTATAACTTAAAAAGTTGAAAATATAAAAATATAAATTTTTTTGAAAATATATGAATATTTTAAAAATGTATTTTTTAAAATTATGAAAATTTTTCATTTTTTTGAATCTTACCATTTTAATTTTTATACATTTTATGAAATTGCATAATTTTTTGGATTTTTTGAATTTTTTATTTTTTTCAAAATTTTTTTTAATTTTATAATTTTTTTAGAAATTTTAAAATTTTCAAAATTTTTAATTTTTCAGAATTTTTAATAGATTTTCAGATTTTTTTTAAAAATTTAGATGTTTATAATTTTCAAATCTTTTCAAAAATTTTAGATTTTTTTATTCTCAAAATTTTAAAGATGTTGTGAATCTTTTTTTTTTTTAATTTTAAGAAAGTTTTATTTTTATTAAAGTTTTCATTTTTTGAATTTTTTAGAACTTTTTTGGATTTTTTCTTAAAATTTTTTAAAAAATTTTAACTTTTCATTTTTTTTAATTTTTATAATTTCTAAAAATATTTATTTTTTAAAACTTTTTAATAACTTTTTAAAATATTTCAAAATTTTTAGATTTTTTAAATTTAAAAAAAATTTCAATACTAATGAGACAATTGATGATATGACGTTTATTAGACTTATTTTTATATGTGTTAGTATCTTATCGAATATTTATAATACATTAACAGGTTGATAACAGTGTTAATTCAAGGTATCAAAGTGAATGACGGAATAAAAAGTCGAGTATCAAATTGATAATTTTTTATTTTAGATATCAAATTGATAAAAAAATATATAATAGAAGGACTATTTTTACATTTAACACTTGAATAATTGCTTTGGCCATGGGATATGGAAGACTCAAACTAATAAGTAAATTAAGCACGAAAAAAAGATCATTTCACTCATTATATTTAAAATTTTTTCCATTTTTTCTCCTTTTAATCCTCTCTATCAAACATATAATAAAATATAGATCACTAATAGTTGATTGCAGCAAGCATTGTCCATTCTTCTGCGTTAGACTGATAAGAGTGTCTCTTGCTGGCCTTTTTGCAAACTTTTTGTAGCAGAGAAATGTCATAAAAAACTTGATCCACCCCATTTCATAGCTGGCAAATCCAGACAATTGTTTATCGATGGTGAACTGGCCTTTGTTTGGTCTCCAAGCTTTGGGGCACGGGGTTTCGCAACTACAAGCTGTGAATTACAATTAATGCAAATGTGTAGCTATAAGAAGGTTCGCATTTTGATTTTTTTTTTTTTTAATAAAAGAGTCTTTAACTTGGGAAAGTAAAAGGGATTGTAAATGCAAATATTTAAATTTCAAACTTATTAAATGTAAATTTTGAAAGATGAATACATGATTAAATTGAACTAATAGGTTCTTCGTTTCTCTTTTTCTTGCTAATGTTTAGTAATAACAGTTTTTCTTTAAAAGAAAAATGAAATATGGAAAACAAATCAAACAATCCTTTAGCTAGCTTGCCATTAGATCAGTGACCAATAGGCTAAACACAAAAATATCAGTAGTCTTTCCATTGAGAATGAGATACTTCCTGAGAATACCTTCCTTTTGGAACCCTGCCTTTTCCAATACCCTTTGAGAGGCCTTGTTCTCCACATCAACAAGACCTTGCACTCTCTCAACATCTGGGAACTCTTTAAACACAGTTGAAACAACCATTGTCACAGCTTTTGTGACAATACCTTTGCCCCAGTACTTTGATCCCAAAGCATAGCTGATTGATCCTCTGCATCTATCATTGCCAGAACCTGGATTGAATGCTATGAATCCGATTGGCTTGCCATCTTCCAAGCAAATAGCACGGCACCATGGGCGGGGAATGACAACTTGCTTTAAGTAACTCAATGCGTCATCTCTTGATGTGAAGTGCCTCAATCTACTTCGACTTATCACTTCATCGTCACACGACCATTTCATGAAGTCGTCCACATCGGATAGTTCATAGGGCCTTAGGTTGATCTCCATTGATGATATCTTTTAAGCCTTTGAGAACTTTTTCTTTGCATCAAAGCCTTAGATTGAGTTTGTTTTCGGCCTAGCTTACCTAATGGAATACTTTATGATCCATTTTACAAAGCATAGGAACCTAACCTGTCTCAATTCCATTTGCCGGAAATCCTTTTAGTGTACTGATTTTGAATACTTTTTCAAAGGCAAGTAAGAGGGCTTTTTCCTTCTTTTTTTTTAATATATATAAAATATATTTTATTATTAATTTAATTATATATTTTAAACTCAATCTAAGAAATGACTATATGTGCAGTTTTGCATGAAAACTAATTGGGGGTCACTCCAATGGCTAGGTGGTCAACCAAGACGGGCGTAATACAAGCGAAGGTCACATGAACAACTTCAGCAATGGATACTTCCACCCATTACCCACCCACCACACCACGCATTGGTCCCTTTGTTTTATTATTATTATTCTTATTTTTGGTCCTTTTCAGCTAGAGCCTAGAGGTGTTTATATTTGACACCTACTCTGTCGCTTTACAAGCCTAGGCAAGAACTCTGACTTCAGCCTACTTGCTGGTGCATTTTATGTTCATTATTAAAAGAGTTAATTATTTGGTAGTATATAATTACTTCACTCTATCAAACTATGTGTGATGATATTTTTTTAATAAGTAAAATTAAAAATAATTAAATTTTTAAAAATAAAAATTTAAATAAATTTATTAATATTTATTTTTAAAAATTTAATTACTTGTAATATTAATTAGATATTATTATATAATTAATGAATAATATATAATATTTTTATATTATTAATGCATCAAATATTATTTTTATTAAAATGTTAAAAAATTGGTAAGAAGTAGGCAATGATTGTGATTCAAGGAGCAGGCAATTCAGGTGAATAATTTTTTTTTTTTTTATATTTCAGATGTTATTGAATTAATTAATGTAATTATTTTTTAAAACTAATATTTAATAATTTTAAATTTTAAATTTTAAATTTCAAAGACTTGTAATTTATTATCCTACTTTTAAGTACCAATTTCACAACCTACATTAAAAGTTAAAAAAAATTAAATTAATGAGTTTATCTTTAAAATAATTTTTTTTTTTTATAATTGAGTTTGCTTGAAGGATTTTAACAATCAAGCATATTTTCATCTATTGGATATAGTAAGTTCACAATGCAGTTATAAGAAAATTACGTTGTAAAGTTTCTCAATAATTTTATTTACATCAATTTCTTTTTTCTTATTAAAGTTTGAGACGAAGGGAGAAGTGAACACAATTTGTTTTCATGCAAAGTACCACCATAATTAAGTTTGGTATTTGTTACAAAACCAATGCTTTGTCTAAATAAATAAATAAGTGTACCAAAAAACTTTATTAAAAATACATTGTGCAAATTGTAATCACCAAAAATTGAGTTGTACTTATTTTCTATTTCATTTAATATACAAGATTAATTTTAGCCATCAATCTTCGCTGCCTACTGGTTTCCCCTTGACACAAAAGTCAAACAGGGCGGCTATACAAAGCACAAGGGCGAAGATAAGGGGGAGGCAGGAGCCACGGCCCCTCAAAAGTTTTTATTACCTTATGATATGGTGATGAATCTCACGTAATTACAACCTTTGGCCTCTTCTTTTCATTTTCATATCCGGTCTTCGCTCTGACAAAGCACTATTGGCTCTTGCTCCCCATTCAAAAGATGAAGGAATTGACCATTCCTTGGTTCCTGGCAAGTTCTTGAGGCTATATTATCTTTGTGTTGTATATAGATATATAGCAAAGCTAAATCTGCATCTTATTGCTCTTCCCAATTAAGTTTCTTAATTCTTATCCTACTTTCGAATTAATTTCTTCGAAGAAATCATGGAAGAAATCCGTGATGTTCAATTAGATCAAAGCAAAGCCGAGGATGGATATTCCAATCTGTCTCTTCGGCTACTTGATCTCTCAGATATAGATGATTTCATGGTATGGGCTACTGATGAGAAAGTGGTTCATTTCTGCTCCTGGGAACCTTTCGTCAACAAAGAGGATGGCTTGAACTACATCAAAAACACAGTTCTACCTCACCCTTGGTTCAGAGCAATATGCCTTGACAACAGACCAATTGGTGCTATTTCCGTCACAGCAAATTCAGGGAATGATAAATGCAGGGGTGAACTTGGGTATGTTTTGGCATCCAACTACTGGGGCAAAGGGATCGCAACAAGAGCTGTGAAAATGGTGGCCAAGACCATATTTGTTGAACGGCCTCATTTGGAGAGACTTGAAGCTCTGGTTGATGTGGAAAATGTGGGGTCTCAAAGGGTGCTGGAAAAGGCTGGGTTTCAGAGGGAAGGTGTTTTAAGGAAGTACATCATTCTAAAGGGAAGGTCTAGAGACATGGTTATATTCAGTCTTCTCTCTACTGATCGTCAAATTTGACGATTATTTGTAAAAATTCAAACGTTTTGTTGAATTGTTTCTTGATTATATGTTGTATGTAAATTATAGGCTTCTGGTAAATAGGCTTACCTAATGCCAATGGCTATGGCAAGTGGTTAAATTTAAGTTCTTCAATCTTTTTTAAGGGTTTTAACAATCATATTTACATTCAATGTAATTGGATATCAAAATTTCACAATGATCTGATATCTTTTTGGGGGTCAAATAGATTTGCAAGCTTTTGAACTCAAACGAATATGAGCTCTCAACATGTTAAATTTAAGCCGATTGTTTGGATGACTTGAATCCTTATCTCCATATAGACTTCAACAATCATCAAATTTCCATCTAATATAAGATTGAGATGGACAATGGCAATTGAGCAATGAGCAAATTACATCATAAAATTGTTCAAAATGTTTTTACATAGATAAGCGAGGGAGGGGATGAATTTTCCAAGCTGTTCCTATCGCCACAAGAACTTTCTCACATGTAGATGATTTCGTGGTCTGGGCTAGTGATAAGAGAGTGCCTCTGTACTGTGGTTGGGAACCTTGTACCAACAAAGAGGATGCCTTAAACTTCATAAAAAGCAAAGTTCTGCCTCGGCCTTGGTTGAGAGCAATTTGCCTTGACAACAAGCCAATTGGTGCCATTGCCATTGCAGTCACAGCAAATTCAGGTCTATAGCTTTCAAAAAGTGGGGCAAAGGTATTGCCACAAGAGCTGTGAAAATATAAGTATTCCTGTGGAACAATTTTCTTTTCTCTGATCTTTCCATATAAAAAAATGTTTTTTTTCTTTTAAGTAAAAAAAATAAAATTCACGTTAACAAGTCATATATATCATATATATATATTATATTACAAAATATATAAATATTTGATAAAATTTTTCACATAAATGTTTATTTGGACAACTTATATTTTTGACACATAAGATAATATATAAAATTAAATAATTAAGAAATTAAAAAAAAATACCAAATGTTTAAATTCAAAATTTGAAAAAACTTGAATTTAAACTATTATAATAAATTACTCAAATTTCAAGATAAATTTGATAATTATACTTGGATTTTGAATTAAATCAAAATTAAGTTAATAATAACAATTTGAATCCGAATGTATTGCAAACTAACTCGATAAAGACTTTTTAAAATAATATTTGTGATATGACTTTAAGTTTATGAATTTTCTTAATTATAATCCTCATAAATACACCCTTTTTATGTTTTGTGTTAAGGTGGAACTCAACCACTGGTGCTGCTAGGCGCCGAACACAGGGAACCTTCAGGGTTTCAAATGTGACATCGTCATAAGCCTCCATTCATTCTCCAGAGATCAGCTACTGCCTCATCACACAATCAACAATGTACCCTACCTTACACCGGATATTTGACTAAAATTTGCTGATGCATATGCCAATGGTGGCATCGGTGATTTTGAATTCTTCAAACCTTGAAATTGTCAATGGAGTTTTTATGGCAACTGGGATCCACAAAGGGTGGATAGAGATTGTGCTCAAGAATGACTTAGAAGTCGTAGATACTTGGCATTTGGATGGATTCCGGTTCTTTGCAAGGAGTAAAACTATAGTTAAAATTCATGCAGCTGAAAACCTCTTTTGCGATTAGTGTTGGGGTGTAATTGATTAAGTTTGAGTTTATATAATATTAAACTCGGAGTTCGAGCTCAACTTTAAATTTGAGGTTCGAAATTCGATTTGAACTCGATCGAATTTTATTTTTTTAATTCAAATTCGATTTGAGATAAAAATCGAGCTATTCAAACTTGCTCAATTAAACTTAATTAAAATGTAAAAATAAATTCGATTTTTATATTCGACAAAAGTTCAATTATTTGTATTCAAATTTAAATTTGAATTCGAAATATTTTATCAATTAAAATAATTAAAATATATTAAAATATAAAAATTCAATTAAGCTAGTGAGCAACTTGAACCAGATATAAAAATGTTCGAATTCGATTCGATAATAATTAAATTCAATTCGAATTTTATTCGAATCAAATTCGAATAATTTATAAGTATTAATATATCATTTACACCTCTAAATTAATAGCATCCAACTCTAGATCAGTATTTATTTGATGATTTAATTCATCCTCACAAATTAAGGACACATGAGCGAATGTGAATATTTATGTTGTTATGATTTAATTAATTATTCAATAATATATATATATATTCGTTTCTTTATAAAATATAATATATTATGTACGTTTTTTTTTTTTCTCCAAGATTTGAGCAAGATCATAATAGTGATGGTGTGTTATATTTTTTTTACAATCATTAAAAGCGAAAACATTGCTATGGCTCATATTTTCAGAAAAAAAAATGCATCTAATTTATACCTTTAAGCCAAAGAAAGTAGTGTTTATTGAATTTTTTTTATCATTTTGTGGATCAAGTATTAAATCATTTTTGAGTTCAAAATTGATTATCACACAAATTCAAAAGTTGCTCAATGAAGAGAAAACTTCTTATCTACTTGTAGAAATTTAGAATGTAAGTAGTTTTTTTTTTTTTTTAAAGAATGTAAATTATATATATTTTATTTTTTATATATTTTTGTCAAACTTCTTTTAGAAAGATTAACTTTTTTGAGATATCAATTGAATATATAAATTCTATATATATATTATAAATATTAAAAACTTTATTATAATTATGTAAACAATGCTAATTATTAATTTTTATCAAATTAATTCGTATTCGCACGAGTTACTTAGAAACAAATGATTTATATAATTTTTAATTTTAAAAAATAAAATAAAACCCCCTCAAGTTCCAACAGAAAAAATGAAGAAAAAAAGGGGTGAGTCAGCACTGAGCAAAGGATGTTTTTTCCCCTGGCTGGAATAGATCACTGCCAAAGCCACTTGAACAACATTAGTATGTTTTAAAACCATCGACCCTGTAAGAGTTTCCCTCCTTTTTGTCTTTGTTTTTCCATTTTCTGGAAACCCTCGAAAAGCAATGGACCTGTTCTCCGCCCTCCGCCGCTTAACAATCCGGGGCGAGCTGGACAAAATCATCCGAGTCAACGACGAGGTCTGTTTCGGCACCGACTATTCCTTCTCATGCTCCGTCGAAACCGCCTGCAGTTCCTAACAAGGCAATCTCTACATTCTGGAACCTTGGTTTTCTACATCCAAAATCACCATCTCAAGCACACGGATTACATGCACAGCTCTCTCTCTCTCTCTCTCTCTCTCTCTCTTTGCGTCCCCGCTGTCACTTTCACCAACCGCAAACCCCACCTTGATTAGCTCACCGAAAAAGTGTCTACTTCCGATTCCATCGTTTACAATCCACTGAAGTTCCCTGACGAGTTTCGACCCAACCCGTCTGGGTTCTACCCGGAAAGCTGTAAACCCAAAGTTAATACCAATGATGTTGTTTTGGATGAAATAGGAGATACCCATTTCGATATTAAAGATAAAGAGATTGAATTTGCGGATTATATGGGAATAATTCGATCAATTGAGAAACCCTTGAGGAATAGAGTAGGGATTTTGGAATGGAAAAATAGGGATTTTTATAGTGTTCTTGTTGCCTCTACGAAAAGGGAAGAAGAAAAGCAGAGGCTTGAGTCTCAGCAGAGGAAAGATGGGTTAGTTGCTAAGAGCAGATTAACGGGGGCAGAAGAGAAGGGATTAGGGTTAAGTTATGGGGATAAAATGGTAGGATATGATTCGAAACCGAAAATGCATATAAAAGGGAGCAAACGTGGGGAAGGAGTGCCTATTAGTTTAGTGCCGAGTGCGTTTCGGACTTTGATTACTGTTTATATGATGTAGGTGCTAACCAGAAGATAATCGTATTCCCGCAAAGATTAGCGCAGGTTTTAGAAATAGAGAATAAGGAAAAAAATAAGAGAGAAAAGAGAGAATAACAGAATTTGCTAAATTCCAGACTGCCGATTTTCATTGCAGCGCTCATTCTTGTACTGATAATACGGTTATCTTGAGTAAACATAATTGACCCTATGAAACTGAAATTACCTCAACATCCCTGACCCAATGATTAACTAACTTGATTACAATTTCTTAACAAAACTAATGACTTAATCTATTTATTTAATTCTGCATATATCAACACCCCTTCCCTACAAAGAATTCTTGTCCTCAAGGATTAAAAGTTGGAAACTTTTGCTGCAAATCATATAGTACTTCCTAGGTAGAATCTTCAGGAAATGTATTTGTCCACCAAACAAGAACTTTATTTACAGCCCTATTTTCTCGCTTGCTAATTCTTCTGTCGATGACCTTCAGTGGCTCTTTACTGAATGTACCATCTTCCCCGACCAAAGGCAACTGAGGCTGAGTAGAAACAACTCCAACATGTTTCTTTAGTTGAGAAACATGAAATGTAGGATGTATTCTAGACCCTGGAGGAAGTCTCAGTTTGTACGCTACCATCCCAATCCTTTCAACCGCTTGAAACGGACCAAAGTAGTTAGCAGACAACTTAAGGCAACTTCTGTTAATAACTGATTTTTGCCTGTGAGGCGATAACTTCACATACACCCAGTCTCCAACCACAAACTCCGTATCCGTTCTTCTTCTATCAGCCAAGTTTTTCATTCTGACCTGAGCCCTCGCAGATAAAACTTAAGCATATTGAGAGTAGCCTCCCTAGTTTTTAAACTCCTATCTACTTGTCCTACAATTGATTCTCCAACCAAATAAGGCAAATGGACAGGAGCTGGCCGGCCATATACAATTTCATATGGAGTAGCATGAGTAGCAGTATGATAAGAAGTGTTATACCACCATTCGGCCATGGCTAACCAAAGACTCCACTTTCTCCATTATTCACTGGTCATACAACGATGATTTAGAAGCAAATGAACTGCTGCTATTCCTTATAACTCCCGTTTCCAGCATTTCCCATATCATCTTCTTTATTTCATCTTTTTGTATAACGGGATACCTGTAGGGTCTAATTCTCACCGACTGATTCTCAACCTTTGAACAAATCTTGTGGTTGTGAGGCCTACTGGGAGGCAAGCCCTGAGGAGGTTCAAACGTTTTCTCATATTCTTGCAACAATGAGCCTAACCTTCTTTTAAAATCTGCCTCACTCTGCTGGTCACAGGTAATCACTTTGAGCTAACTATGAGCTTTTTCAGAAATCAAGAGTGCATAAGGATGATAGTTGTTATGAACTAGTAGAGATTGCAACAACTTCACTGTTTGCTTCTGATTAGCCATGCGTATCTCTCCCGGTCGTATACCATGTAAAGTTGCCCATATGCCATTAACCTTGAACTGCGTTGTCAGATTATAGAAGTCCCATAAGATTGGCTCTAATGTCACGAGCCATTAGACTCCGAAAACCACATCACTCCCTTTCAAGGGTAACACCTTGAGATTAGACCTGAACCATTCACCTTGCACTGCCCATTTAACATCTTGACACACTCCTTGAATCGACAAGTTTTTCCCGTTAGGAACAGTTACCTTACTTCTGCCGCCATCATTTTTAACCTCAAGGTTTTAACGATTGAGCTATCAATAAATTTGTGAATGCTTCCGGAGTCTACCAGCATGATTATCTCATGTTAGTTGATAACTTCAATCAACCGCATAGTTTGAAACCCTGAAGTTCCAAACATAGCATGCAAGGATATTACTGGTACCTCTCCTCCATTAGTCTCATTCATCAAAATCTCAGGATTGTCAATACAATATGAGAATTCTGCTGTTTCTGTTTCTGTATTTGTCTCGCCTCCTTCAACTAGAAGTTGGTATAACTGGAACTTAATACATTTATGCCTAGGTGAGTATTTGACTCCACACCAGTAGCACAATCCCTTCTTCCTCTGATCCTTCAATTCTGCAGGGGTTGGTATTTTTGTAAATGATTTGGGTAATTGAGTTAATGTAGTTGGGGTAATGGCTGATGGGTTGGTATAAATAAGAATGGGGTTTAGATGGATTTAAGTTGAGGTTGAATTTGGGGGGGCTTTTGGAGTGGGTAACAAGGGTGGTAAAACTTGGGGCTTACTATAAGTATTGGTCAGTGAGGTATGAGATATTGGTAATACAGGTTCTAAGGTGTTTGCAGATTTCTTTGTGGCTAGGTAGTTAATGGATTCTATTTGATTTGCAAGGTGTAACGCTTGGGTTAGGTTTGATGGTCTAAACAATTTAATGGATTTAGAGATATCAAATTTCAGGTTGCTAATGAATACACTCAATGCATAATCATCAGGCAATTGTAATAGATTCCAAATACCTATAAAATCTTCATAATACTGCTTGACTGATCCAACTTGCTTGAGTTTCACCAAGTCTGCCATAGGATCCTCAAATTCCTCTGATGTGAACCTTTCCCTCATAATGATTAGATAAGAGCCCTAGTTCAACTTATCGAACCCTCCCTGAGATTTGGCATAACGCCGGTGCCATTGGAGTGTTTTTCCTTCTAGGCTAAGCATATTGATTCTCACCTTCTGCTCCTCTGTCACTTTCTCAGCTTCAAAATACTGTTCCAGCTTCATGTACCAACCCTTAAAGTCTTCATTATTAAGCTTTGGGCATTCAAACTTGTACATCCTGTGAAGGTGAAGCAGATGAAGCGTTCAAGATCGGAGTTTGTTACTGTGCAGTAGACGTTTAGTAGGGATAGTCAGAGATAGGATAGGAACGGCATATGAAGTGAGGGACAAGCTTTCTGCTTTGAAGCCGGAAGATTGGGATCACGTGGTGGCAGCATTTGTGTTGGGGAAAGAGTGGCAGTTCAAGGATTGGCCTTTCAAGGATCATGTAGAGATTTTTAATTAGAGTAAATGGGGTTTTTGAGCTTTAGCTGGATTGTTTGTGTTTTATTATCTATTATCTTAGTGCTGGTTTAAGATTGTTTATTTGGGTGGGTGGAAGTAGAGAATGTATCTAATTTGTTTTTATACTCTTGATTAGAACAAATACTCATACTTTAATTTTATGCAGTTATTGGATTTTTTATGCGATTTGAAGATGACGGTAGAGTCTGCCAAGATTGTGAAGCAATGGAATGTGAAAATTATCTCCGTAAGAAATATTTTCCTCAGCTGCTGTACTATTTTCATCTTAGTTCAACAACTTTTGGTGGAACCTAGAAATCTTCATTTGTCTGCTTCTGTTTTTCTCAATGTGCCATTAATGTGCAGATTAGCAAGAATAAGATACACCAAGATAGGGCTGCAGCTCTGGAGGTCTGGGGCAGAGTACAAGAATTTGTGCGGGGACAATCACATTCATAAATTGTGCAGCTTTTAGCAAACATTTATATGTACATGTCTGATTTTCTTGAGCTATGACCTTCTTCCTAGATTTATCTTTGAATTTTATTGAAGTGTTTAAGAATATTGATAAGCCTTTTATGACAATCGGCGATCTCATTTTATTTTTTTCTTGTGAGGGGTGCATTGCCAATTAAGTTGCGGTTTATGGGTGGCAGCTTCAAAATTGTAATTTATTTGTAAGTTATCATATGTCTGCAGAGACAACAGGATGTTCCTTGACCTTTTTGTTTTTGATAAATGTAAATCATTGAACAAATGTAAGAGTGAAGTAGACTTTGTTGATTACATCATTTAGGGTAGATATCGGGACAAAATACGTGGATATATTAGGGTGGAGTTGTTTGCTGATATAGGTTAAAATTTTGAGGGTAAAACATCTATAGATGGATTGTTTATTTTGCTTTCCAATGTACAGGCCCATTTTTTTAGTGTAGGTTTGTAACATGAATAAGCTACACATGGTTCAAGTTACCCTAGCATTTAACCTTTTCAAGTTTTGTTAGTTTAGTAAGGTTGTTGCAAATCAGGTGTTCTGCAAATGAAGGGAATGTGTCTAGATCCTTTTGTCATCTTAATTGTATCTCCTTGTCGCAGATTTTGTTAGCTTAAGTTTATATGTTTTCTGTCTTGCTTTTTTATCTGCATTACCAGGGAGAGGTGATTTTGGATAATTAGATAAATGACTAAACCATATATAAAGGTTGTACTGCTCTTATCTCTCATCTGATTTGGTTACTTTGAGACAGTTTTGTTCATACTGATTTCTTTTGATTGCTCTCTCTCTCCTTTGCTGTGGTGGTTTTTAGCCTTCTAGTTTCGGCTTCAAAACATTACTTCCTAACAGCTTGTGAAAGCCTTTTATAGCTTAATTTAATGAATTTGCTCTCTGGAACTGGAATGAAATGAAGTTGGGATCGCTATGATGAGATCCAAGACCTAGGTTGTTTTAATAAACATCACTAAAGATGGTTACTCTTGGCCAATGGTTTTATTTTATTGAGTGCCAATGCACACAAAAGGTTTATAATGGCTGTGACCTTTTGAAATTCTGCTGCAAGGAATCCTCTGTTTGGAATACTAACATAAGCAGCGCAGGGCTGCTTCAAGATGCATTTCCTTAGGCTTTTGCGTGAGTAAATGGTAAAACAGCATTATGAATTACATTATTGATTTATCAATTCTGCTTCTTTGTCACTGTTGTTTGACCCCAACACATGCCAGAATTGTAATATTCTTTTCTTGAGTGTATAGACTTCTGAATGATTTGAGCTTTAACTCTAATTCACTTCTCTATGTTGGTATTGTCTTCTTGCTTTGATTCTTATTTGACTTTTTGTCATTTTGAAGTGCCATACGTTTATAAATCCCTCGTTAGATATATATGTTCAATAAGTAATCATGAGAAATCTTTATTGAGAAGGGAAGAGAAGCCAGAACTCTCTTCAGCAATACAAAACCATATCGGCCCCTGGAGGAGTGGAGTGGATGAAAATCTAAATATTACATATATATATATACATATATATAATCAAGAATACCATAAAATGTTTGCTAACAGGATAGTGTCATGAGAGGTAAGGCAAACTAGGTAAGATTCAGCGTGATGAGAAGAGTGAACTATATGATGTCGCCAACAGAAGGAAGGTGAGCAGAGAGAGTGACAATTTGGTGGTGCTTCCATCTGATGAGCCTTTTTCCTGTGTGGATGGTACAGTTTTAGATCCACCTTCTGCATCCATTTTTAACATTTACAATGAGTAAAGTTGAAGAACAAACAAGATTTGGGGAAATATATCTCATTGTTTTTCTTGCTATTTGAGATTGTTTTAACTTTTATGTGAAAATTCAATGTCAACTAGATAACTAAACATGGGAGTAACCTGACGATGGAAGAAGTAGATAACTATTTTATACCTGTAGGAATAATGCTCCCAGATTCTGGTGATCCTACCGGAGAGTCTGCTGGAGCTGGAGAAGCAGCTGATAACAGGCGGGCATGGTTTTAGTAGACTACCAGACAATTTTGAGTAAATTCCAATCATCTCTTAATTAATTGAACTTTTTTAAACTACTATTATTATTATTATTTTCATCTCTCAAATATTTCTTGATTGATCATTGCATAAAAAGTTATGGGAATATGCATAAAAATTTTGCTGACATTTATGCAAGATTGAGATTAAAAAATTTAATACATATGTAATTGCATCCTTACCATTACAGCTGCTAATGGGTGGAGTCTGAACATTGCATGAGCCAGGCAAGGCCAAAGCTTGAGTCTGGTTGATGGTGATCCCAAGTGATGAAGCACCACCATTAAGGACTTCACACAAGCATTGTGGTGATGAACGCACGACATTAGCAAGCTGTGTGCAGCATTGTTGAGATGGGGTTGATGAGTTCCCGGTAATGTAATTTAGGCAGGGTGACAGGCTGATCAATATACCAGTGCAGCCTGACTGAGCTGTAGCTCCTGCGCAAAGCATAGCTACTAGAACCAGGACAAAACATGTTGCCATCTTCCTGTTTGCCATTAGTTCTCTCGGTATGGTAATCGCAGAGAATTCCTGCAAATTGAGCTGATTTCCTGCAACTCTGAAATGTGGTTGGTATCAAAGCAGTAACGGCAAAATGGTGAGGTTTTTGTAGGGAGACTATGCGATGATGGCAGTTGCAGGTGACCAACTTTCCTAGTTTTTAACAGGATCAATAGTCAACTACAGGTTTATATCTTTGAAGTGTTCAATGGAATTATATATTGTTTGGTTTCAACGGAGAACTTTATAGGGTAGCTACGTGGGTGACCAACCTATATTCAAACTGATGAATCTTTGATGCAGGATGCGTGGATTTTTAAAGCGTTCAAAGCTGAACACTCCTGGAAACCTCAACTGTGAAGAAAGCTTAACGTGTTTCTGACTCCACCTTTCCACAGAATTTAGCCTTGTGAAACTCTCTCCTTCAAGAATTTGAATCTGGTTTAGAAGGAGAAAATTCGTTGCAAAGTTAAAAAGACAATGAGCTAAATTGTGTATTGGAGAAGGTCGTTGCTTGCTTCTTCTGGTTTCCTCTGAAAATGATATCTCTGTTTTATTGCTTCGGACCAAAGAAAACGGACTGCCTTCATTGATGATTTAGGACATGACAGATGTCCTAGGGACCAAGGGCAGACTTTGAAAACACAAAATTGTAATCAAGTCATTCGTCAACATGGCAAAGAGGACACATTTGCCCATCGGTTCAGGTTTTTTGTTTTCTAAAATTCTCTCAAATATGGAGAGTTTCAGGCAACTCTTTGAAATTTCATTGTTAATTTCATGGGGGCTTGTTTAAAGTGTTAATTTCAGCAGACTTTCAAGGTGCATGGACTTTTGTAAAAGTTTAATTCTTTGATAAAAATCAGATTTACATATTACAAAGCAAAAAATGTTATTATAATGAAATTAATTTTTAATATCTATTCAATAATAAATTTTAGATATTAAAAATTAATTTATGAAAAAAAAAAATCAAACAGATAAATCAAAATAAAATTGAACTAAATTCATATATGATGAGATTAAATTTAAAACATTAGGCTTCACTTTGAAAAAAGGTAAAAATAAAAAATTTGATAATTCGATGATTAAAATTCATAATTTTATGATAATTTTTTTATTTTGTAAATTAACAATTAAATTTATAAATTTTTCATCCTTATTTTTTCATTTAAAAATAAAATAATTAAATGTCTGATAAAATACAATCTATTATCATAATTGAAAAATATTTTTATTTCAATTTTATCTTAAGACAATCATATGCTTTATACAAAAAAGTTAAAGTATTCTAAAGTCAATAAACCATTGAACGCGTCTCCCTCCCATCTCCAACAGGGGGGACAATGGCTTCAAATACACTGCTGAAAATATTCAAATGCATCGCATTGTGCGGTTAAGGCCACAAAGTAGTTTGGATAGCATTGCACCCCTAGTGTGATGGTATCCAAATGAACCCTAAATATATCATTAGTTAAGGAATTGAGTTGTGAAATCCGATATATAATTACTGCAGTTGTATAGTTTGCATTGTGTGCCACGAGTCAATTTTAACTTTTTTTTGTTTATTGAATTGTTTTCATTAACTAATACGTGGTTTTTTTTTTTTTTTTTTTTTTTTCATATTTTAGATTTGCTTTATTTTTTTGTGCATGGGTCCCACATGTAATTTTTTAATTTATTTTTCCGTGGTACCCACCTTCATTTTTTTTTTTTTTTTATATATTTTCATAACATGTTTAACTAATTGTTATCTTGTGGCCCATTTTTATTTTTATTGAAATTCAATTTTTTTTTTTCAAATTTCACAATTTTTTTAAAATTTTTTCTTGAGTTGTCTTTTTTTTTTTTAATGTTATTCGTAGGACCTACAGTTTATTATTATTTTTTATGTATTTTTATAATTTTTTTATTAATTTTTATATTATAGGATCCGTTTTTTAGTAGAATCATTTTTTTCCTATTTTTTTAATTATTTAATAACTCTTTTTTCCATCAAACTCATTTTTAAATAATTTTTTAGTACAACTCATTTTTTCTTTTTTTTTTTTGCTTTTATTTCTCGAGTCTCATGTGTATTTTGTTTTTTTTTTTCGCATTCACTAGCTATAAAATTTTTTAATAAATATTCTTTTAGTATGTACTTTTTGTATTTGACACATTTGATACTAATAGTATGTAATATTTGTTGGGAATATTGATTCAAATCTCATAAGAGATTTGTTTGAGATTTGTTAGAGATTTATTTGAGATTTGTCAGATATTGCTTGATGGACAAGAAAACTTACAAAAGAAGAATTCCAAGAGAAAGAAGATTTTTAATAAGTAAGTTTGACTTGCAAGAGAAGAATTCTAAAAGGAAAGGGATTCTTAATAGGTAAGTTTGACTTATAGGAGAAAAATTCTAAGAGGAGAGGGATTCTTAATGGGCAAGTTTGTATGGTTATAAATAGGTGAAGTTTCTACAGGGTTAGGTATGAGAAAAAGATGTAAGAGAGTTGTAGGGTTTTGTGAGATAGACACCTCAAAGGAGTATTGGGGCTCTACGTCTTATAAATGTGTATGTTTGTTTGTGAGTGGACTAGAGGAGACTGAGAGGGTCCACATAGGTATGGTGTATGGGAGCATATGGGTATGTGTTTGGTTATGTTGGAAGGGTGCACAAGGGTTTGAGTTTGTATTTGTTTGGGTTGAGAATACTCCATAGGACTAGAGGAGATTGAGAGTGTCTTATGAGTATTGATTGTTGAGTGAAGTTGATGATTTGATGTAAGTTTGTAATTCTCTACAACTAGTGGATCTTGTTTCTCATCCGTGGATGTAGGTCAGTTGGATCGAACCACGTTAAATTATTATCTCTTGTGTGTTTGATTTATTGTTTGATTTTACTTCCGCTGTGTGTGATTGGATTAGAGGCTTTTAGCCCAACAAATAGTATCAGAGCTGTGGTGATCTCCAACAAGTGGTATCAGAGCTGTGGTGTTCCCCAACAAGTGGTATCAAAGCTGAAAGTTCAAAACGTGAGAAGAGTTAAAGATTCAAGATGTGAAAAGAGCCGAAGGTTGAAATATGGAATAGCTGAAAGTTCGAGATGTGGGAAGAGCTAAAGGTTTAAGATGTGAGAAGTGCATGGTTTGAGACATGGGAAGAAGCAAGTCCAGAAGAGCTCGATTCAATAGAAGAGTTCGAGTTTAAGATTGAGGATTGGTTTGTATAAAGCGTGAAGACACAAGAGAAGAGAAGATGATTGTGAGACTTTCACTGCAGGTGGAGCCAAGCATGTCTAGCATGAAGACAGATGATTGATGAAATTTGAGTCAAGGTAAAAATTGTTGGGAATATTGACTCAAATCCCATAAGAGATTTGTTTGAGATTTGTTAGAGATTTGTTTGAGATTTGTCAGATATTGCTTGATGGACAAGAAGACTTACAAAAGAAAAATTTCAAGAGAAAGAAGATTCTTAATAGGTAAGTTTGACTTACAAGAGAATAATTCTAAAAGGAAAGGATTCTTTAATAGGCAAGTTTGATTACAGGAGAAGAATTCTAAGAGAGAAGGATTCTTAATGGCAAGTTGTATGGTTATAAATAGGTGAAGTCTCTATAGGGTTAGGTATGAGAAAAGATGTAAGAGAGTTGTAGGATTTTATGGGATAGACACCCCGTAGGAGTATTGGGACTCTACGTCTTATGAGTGTGTATATTTATTTGTGAGTGGACTAGAGGAGACTGAGAGGGTTCACATAGGTATGGTGTATGGGAGCATATGGGTATGTGTTTGGTTATGTTGGAAGGGTGCACAAGGTTTGAGTTTGTATTTGTCTTAAGTTGAGAATACTCCTAGGACTAGAGTAGATTGAGAATGCAATGAGTATGATGTATGAGTTAATGATTGATGTAAGTTTGAATTCTCTACAACTAGTGATCTGTTTTCATTCTATTAAAGTTAGATCAAACCAGTTTAAATTTTATCTCTTGTTTATTGATTATTGTTCAATTTCACTTTCACTGTGTGATTTGGATAGGCTTTTAGTCAACAATAATTATTTTTTTAGAATTCTCAATTTATTTTTTTTATATATTTAATAAATAATTTTAATTTTATTTTTGGGAAACTTACTTGATATGAAATGTAAGTCATGTATTATCATTATTAGTTAGTAAAAATTTAAATATTTTAAAATTTTTTGAGGTTAGGTCCATCGATATTATTACTAAAAATCTATATTTTTTAGTTATTTTTTCTTTTTCATTTGATAATTTTTTGAAAAATGGATGTTAACGAATATCTAGATATCACATTCAAATTTGATTTTTTTCATCTTTTTTTAATCTTTTTTTAAAAAATTCATTATATTAAATTTTCTTTTTAATTTTTCATTATTAATGTTGCATGTCAATACAGCTTTCTTTTTATTTTTATTTTTATTTTTTGCTTTTAGTTTTTTTAGTAAATTTTATTAAATTGGCCCTACACAAAAATAAAAAGTATCTAAAAAATTATTAATATAAAAGGAAAAAAATAAAGAAAAGTAAATTAAAATAAAAACAAAAGATATAAATGAGTGATAAAATTTTACAAGAAAAGCTCATCATTGTTATGTTTTGTGGCAACCCAACATTTTTTTTTTTTTGCTTTTTACTTTTTTAAAAATTTTTTTTACTTCCCTTCATTTTTTTTTTGTTTTTAATTAGATAATTTTTTTTTGGAAAAAAAATGAATCTATAAATGTAGCACTCTATTTCTTTTTCTTTTTTTTTTGCTTTTTTAGTTTGTCTGAATTAGATAATTTACAACAAAAAAATCAAGAAATAATTTTTTTTAGAAATGTCAATTGAGGTATGCTTAATAAAACAACTCATATCTAATGAGTTTTGATTCGTCCAAATCTGATATATACATTTTTTTATTTGATCGAATTGATGCTTTTTCTCGAAAGTCAAAATCAAATTGGATGCGAGTTTATGGTATTTTATCTCGTCTTGACTATATATATTAAATTATATTTTATGTTATTTAATTTTATATTTATGTATGTATTATATTAATAAGTTTTTATTTAATGTTTTAATTTTAGAAAAATATCGTATTTATATATAATTAAGATATAATACATCCATCCATTTATTATATAAATTTTGCTTTTTTTTTTATTTTAATTAGCTAAATGCTCAAATAAGGATCTAATGCTTGCTTGTTTTTTCAATTAAGGATCTCAGTTTTAATTTACTTTAATGTAAGATATTATGCTTTTGATTTTGTTCAAATAAGGCTTTCATTATGGTTGTAGCTTATACTCGTAAAAAAATAACGTGAATCATTATTCTGCATACTAATATAATAAAAACACGGTTTAACTAAAACTAAAAATAGCCGTTGAAAAAAAAAACCAAATCAACTGTGAAAAAGGAATTTAGGGTTTTGAAAACAAAAATTCCTCAAAGCAATCATGATTCCCCAAAGCAAGATTAAGGAGAAATCGATTGGAATCAACTTCAATTGTGATTCAAGTTTAAGTATCCATCGATTTCAGGTTAATTTTTTTTTCTTATAAGTTTTGACAAATGTATGATCGTAAACAATTAGTTAATAGTTATTTGTTGATAGATATGAGTTTTGAATTGATGAAATGTTATAAGATTGAAGAAATGTTTTTTTTCTTTTTAACAGAGATGAGTTTTGAATTAACATCAATAAGATTTCACTATCGAGGAACATTTGTTGGAAAAGGGTCCTAATTTGATATATATATATATATATATATATATGAAATGATTAAAAACTTAACATTTAACCCAAACAAGGTTACTTTTTATGAGTTATTTAATGTTTGTGAAAATGCTAGATTTATGAACATTAGGAGAATTTTTTA